CAGTAAGTAAGTGTTTGGTGAAGATAATCTCTCACTCTGTGCCTCGTGGGTCATTTCTGTCCCCTGCTTTCCTGCTGGTGATTTTGCAAAGAGAGCCGGCCTTCCCAGCAGCGAGCCCGGCCCGCACAGAGGCACCTGGCCCAGGAGGCTGAAGCATTGCCCCAGGTCTGCACACTGAGCGCTGATGAACGGTGTGGACTTGCGTGTGTCCGCAGGGGCCCCGTCCTTGTCTTCCGCGTCACCCTCTGGAGGAGAGCAGGTCTGTCTCCGTACCGGACAGCCTCCTTCAGAACAGCCCCCCCTCACCCCCAACAGCAGCGCTTCCTCGAGGCTCAGGGAGGGGGGCACCCTGCCACGTGGGCACCACATGTACAGGTTCCTCTGCGTTGGAAGTTGCCTTGTATCGCTCCCACGGGCGCCTTTTCTGGAAGGGTGCAGGAGAAAAGGGGGTGGGCCCGGAGAGGGTCGTTTAAGGATAGTTTGCCTCCAGCGAAGTGCTTCCACAGAGGCGCTGGGAGAGGGAAGCAGACCTCTGGGCGTCAGGACTGTCCACATGGTGCAGGACACGAGCCACGTTTGGGTCGTCCCTGGAAACACGGCTGAAACCAGCAAAGGACGGAGGGAGGGGGGAGCAAGGACGGAGGAAAGGGGAGACGGTGGGGGGACTATGAAGCATAGAGGCGACTGAAGACAGGAAAAAGTTGTAGGAACGTAGAAGACATCTAAGTGCTGATGTCAAGTGCGCACCCTGCCCCCACCGTCCAGGAGCACCGTTGTCCCGGTTCAGCACAAACCACAGTCACCGACGCCCAGCCCTGAGTTGGCCTGAGCCGCCTGTGGATGGGCTGCAGCTGCAATGCGAGGCCGATGAGGATGCGGTTGGAGTGCCGAGGGCAGGAGAGGACAGTCACGGGAGGCAGCGCCTGCAGCCTGGTGAGAGGACGTGCGTGAAAGGCGTGCAGGAAGGACAGGGAGCGCGTGTCCAAACGTGGGGTCTGCAGGGAGGGCCTGGCGCACCCGTGTGGAGGGAGCAGGGGCCAGACTCGCAAAGATTGGAAGCAGACCGTGCTCGCTGATGGATTCAACACCCGTTTTGCTGCAGGGCTGAGCAAATCGGAGAGGGAACAGGAAAAGGGCCAAGGGGCTTAAAACTTTGGGCGAGGGAATCCATCGCCGTTGCCCCGGTTCCCATTATTCTTCAGCTGCACAAACACCCAAAGAGATGACCTCACACGTCCCACAGGCATGACCGGAGACGGCGGCCCAGATGTTCACAGGAGACGGCGCTGGTGCGGGTGTGTAGCCGTGTGGCCCCGAGACGGCCCCGGGAAGGCCCCAGGAAGAACTTAGTCCGCTTTTTTCCCCCCTTTTAACAGAAACCACAAGTGAAGGCTAACTCAGAAAGAAACTGAGAAGCGTTCCACGTGCGCTCTGATGCGGGTTCGTGTTTTGTACACGCTTGGGAAGCACTCTGCACGCCACCCTCCGCTCAGGAATTTGTACAAGTAGCATTTCTCCTTGTACGACAGAATTCTGCTGAAAACAGAATTTTTTCTGCCATTTCCATCACTTTGTTCTACATGTTCCACAGCTCTGCTTTTTACAGCCCGCTTTCCATTTTTATACCATTGAGCAGCACCAAAAGGGACATCTGTGTCCAAAAGGCTGTCAAATGTACATTTTGACCCTGAGATTTTTCCTGGACTCCACTGAGGGCAATTCCACTGAGGGAATGAAGGCTCGTTCCCTGTTTTTCAGAATCCCACGGCGTCCAGCACACGCCACAGCAGGCGCTGTCCTGCTCCTGCGGACAAGGGCGTCCAGAAGGGCGGCTGCAGAACCGGTGGGTCTCGGCCTGTTTGCCAAGACAGACAAGGCTGCAGCCTGCACCGTTTCAGACTGAAGTGGAACTGGGCAGGAGCCCAGTTCTGACTAATAATAAATGTTCCGTCATGTAGGTTGGTGAGAGCTCAGAACCAGGTTTAAATTATTTAGGCAAACAACAGAATTTTACCCGAGAGCAAACTCGGACCTCCAGCAGCCCTCCACGGCTGACGTCGGCTCGGATCTGCGGCCCCGCCCGAGCTGGAGACCTGAGCGAAAGAAAGAGCTTTATTCACCGGGGGAAAGTGTTCTCCAGAATCGTGAATGCAGCTCAATTAATTCCTCAGGAGCTATAATTACAAAACCTTTTTTATTAGTTATGTTACGCTGCTGTGCAGTGATTGGATTTCGGACTCTATGATACTTCCCCAAAACTGGCTCCAGGGACAGTATTTTTATTACCTGATTTTTATAAGCCTGATTTTAGACCAAGGTATTTCTGCAGAACATTTTAATATGACTATTTTTTAATAGGTGCACAAAACCATACTCATTTATAGAGTAATAAAGTCTGTGCAAAGACCGTAAGAATATAAATGCAGATGCCAGTTTGTTTACTGCTGAAATTCAGCAGAGCGCCCCCCCATCTCTGTTAACATGGGCATCAGTGCAGATTCCGGACGGTGCCCAGGGCGATAAAGTCCCCTCCAATGAATCAGCAGCTTCCTGTATTTGTAGTTCTTATCTTAATACTCTCCACATTCATAGTCAACTCTGTTTATTTATTTATTGTAAAAATGTCTGTGTGGCGACCAGAAGGATACGGAACAGGTGACCTCAAAGGCCAACGGGGGCTCAGCCCTCACCTGGGCAGCCCCCGGGCGGTGCGTCGGAGTGGAGCGGTGGGTACCGGGCACCGCCTGTTCCGGGGTGGGGGGCGGACCCCAGGGATGTCGGGTCACTTGCCCGAGAAATTGTGCGCCAGGTAGATGAATTGAGATAAAAATTCATGTACATAAAAAATTAAAGCACAGAACCGTCTGTATTCACTTACGAGGGAGAAATGGACACATTTATTCAAAAGTTAGACTCTCTTGTCCATCGTCCTCCTTCCCTTCCCCTGCTCCCAACACTCCCGTCTGGGTGTGGGGGCTCGATGTTTTCTTCGTGAACTGTTTTTAATGCTCAAGAAGAATGTCCATTTCTGCTCATGGCAGAGTGGCTCCCGTGGAACCAAACCTCCTGCAGATGAGAAGAACTGTAAACTCTGGGCAGAATCGTAAAAACAGCTTTTTGAAGGTGCTGGAAGGAGACCCCGGCAGGGAGAAACTGCAGGTGGCAGAGTCTTGGCAGGAGGGAGGGGCCTGTGAGTGTCCCATTGTTACTGCACTTTGAAGGGACAAGATGGCTGTCACCCCTTCAGAGCAGAGCGGGGGCTGTCCGTCAGGGTCTGTTGAGGGGCATTAAAAGTCGGCTCTTTTTCTGTAGCTGAGGTGGAGGTGGGGACCAAACCGCGGAATGAGGTCGTGATCAAATTGTGAGAGTCGCAAAAACTCAGAGAGCACTGAGTCTCAGCTCCTTTGGTCTCCAAGACCAAAGACCGGTTCCTGGGAGAGGAAGGGTGGGGCTGTGTGCTGGGGGCGGGGGGCTTGAGTCAGGGTCTCTGGAAGTCTCTAGTTTGAAGAAGCATTTCAGGATCCCCTGTACCTGGCTCGAAAACAATGACAAAGCCTTAGATGGCGCAGGTCCCCTGTGAGATAGTCCTTCTCTTCCCCCGGGCTCCCCCACCCCACTGGCCTCTAGGCCAATGCCCAGGGCTGTTTTCCAGCCTGAGTCCCCGAGCTGATGATGGTGGATCGGAGAGGCAGGCTCAGGCCACGCCACCCCCGGCCCTCGCTCTGAACTGTTCTCCTCCGCTGCCTTGGACGGCCTTCCGCAGTGACTGCTGAGCCCTGTGCTGCCCCCACTGCCCCCCCCCGGCCCTGCGTGGCTGCCTATAGTTACCTCCGAAAGTTCTGTCCCCCAGGACCTCTCTCCTGCTCAGTAGCCGTCCTCACAGAACGTTCCAGACAGCAGCGACTAGAACACGCCATAGCAAAAGTAAAATCACCCTCCATTGTGCAGTGTGCTTACCCAAAAGACTTCAAAATAAACTCGGCTACAAAGCCACATGAAGAAAAAAAGTCAAAGCTTTGTTAAGTGGTGGAGAAGAGTCACTAAAATTTCTGGGTATAAGGGTCAAGTTGTATGGATGTCTGGTGAGCTCAGTTTGCTTTATATATGTAACGGTCTAGCTAGCGTGAGAACAGGACTTTACTTTTCAGCCCGCTTTTACAAGCAGTGGTTCTGAAGTGACTGGATTGGGGAAAATGTTAGCAGGGAGGAATGGGTGGGCGCTCCCATGTCTAGGCCCTCATCCGCTGCCTTAGTTCCATTTGTCTTTGTGCCCATTTCAAAGCTGACCCCCGATGCTCCCCCCGTGCACCGGTGCCCCCAGCGACCCGTCCGGGAGAGGGACAGAGGAAAGGGAGCTGTCCTCCCCATGCTCACTTCGGTGTCAGTCACCGTGGCCTCAGGCTCTGCCGCCAGCGAGCGGGTGAGGTCGCGTGGCAGGCGTACACGGCGGAATGTGACGCGGCCTCCACAAGGAGGACGTCCTGGCATTTGCAGCCACACAGAGGGAGCCGGAGGACGTTGTCCTAAGGGAAACAAGCCAGACACAGAAGCACAAGCATTGCCTGACCTCACGTCTGTGCGGCGTGGAGGAGAGTCAGGCTCCTGGTGGTGGTTCCCCGGGGCTGCGGGCTGGTCGGAGGGCACGGGCTTCAGTGACGAGGTGACTCAGTTCTGGGGTGACGACACTTAGTGACGCTTGATGGTGTGCTTGACTGACGCTTGGCTGGTAGGTTGTATTCTCACCACACACACAAAGAAGGTTGGGGTGATGGGTGTGTCTTCATAGAGTAACTGTGAATGAAAGCATCCCCTCGTCCACCTCAAATACGCACCATTTTTACCTGTGAGTCTCCCGTCAGACAGTAAGCTGGGGGTGGGGGAAGCAGGTGCAGTATTTATCTGACAGAAGAGAGTGTGTGCCGAAATCGAGTGATCGGGCGTGGGAGGGTCATTTCATGTTCGCTGAGAAAAGTGGCTCACCACCTGATGTTTTGTGACAGTTTTCACCCAGGAAGCCTCACGTGGACTCGAGGACACTTTGGAGCTGTCGCCCGACCATAAGGACCAGGCAGGACCCTGCAGATTGGTGAGCGGACCGCTTCTGCGGTAAGCATTTTGCCTCTCTCATCTTTGTGGAAAACCTGCAGCCTTCTGGGGCGATCGCTCTTACCTGAGAAATGGGGGCGCGGATAATGCTTCCAGGTGGGCTCTGGTGCAATGTGGGGGTGGGGGGCGGCTCCTGAGGGGCTGTACGGGGCGCGAGGGAAAACGCTCAGTGCAGAGGGAGGCCTTGCTGGACAGGCAGGCGGCCCTGCTGCTGCGTCGCTCCCCACTTGAACGTGACAAAGCCGTGGTTTTCTGGAGCACTTGTGGGTGTTTAGGAAGACAAGTGATGGAATGAAAACAGTTCACAGCCCGGGGAGGCTTTAGAGAGTCCGCACATCACTCCTCCGCTGCAGACGAGCGGGTGGCGGCCCAGAGGGGACGCACCGCTGGCTGGTGCTCAGTGCTCGGACTCGGGATGTAGCACCAGAAACACTTCTCTGGGAGTCCAGTGGTCGAAAACAAACGTGCAGAAGGGCCTGTCCCCTGCGATTGCCCCCATGCCCTGCCGTCCCTGCGTGGGTCTCAACCCCGTCCATCCAGGTCCTCTGCTTCTGGGTTGCTGTGGCTTTTAGTGCCATAAGTCTAAACAAACTGTCCTTGACCCTGTTTAAGGGACTGGTCTTCGTTTTTGGCAAACAGTTGATTTTTAGCAAGTGTATTTCTTTTTGGCAAAATGATTTTTGAGCCTACGACTTCCTTTAGGACTTTTAATATACATACTTTTAATAAAGTATCCACAGTCAGTACAAAATGGCGAAGCAGCCCACCAGGAAGCTAACGTTGGACATAAATATGGTGCTTCTCTGGGAGAAAGGGTGGCGGTTTGAGGACTTGCCTCCTTCTTTTTGTTTCCAGATAAAAGGCCAAGAACGTGGTTGTCAGGGTTTAGCCTCTTTTGACACAGGCTTTTCTCCCACCGGCAGAGACGTCATACCCATTGTGGAGAGAGAGCGCCACCTTTTTTATCTGTCTTGTCAAAGTCAGGCATGCTTCTCACATCCAGGTGACCCAGTGGAGTCTCACAGCCCCTGGATGGTTTTAAAACTAGTGGGGACCCATTCTGCCCGTGACTTGAAATAAGTCACTGGCCGAGGCTTGTGGCCCTGTGTCCTGTTGGATAGTCAGGGTCAGGGTCAGCCTGTGCACTTTCTCGTTCGGTCCCTGCTGAGGTCAAGGTCTATGGGGCGGTGCTCTCCCAAGTAGGGGGGGTGGACGAAGTCCCCTGCGCAGCGTGGAGTGAGACGCAATCGGTCTTTGTCTTAGACCGGAGGGGTGTGAAAGATGAGTCCCCTGTGGGTGTGTTGGGGGACCAGCGGCACTGTCCCCTCTGGGCCGGTGGAGCCCTGCACACCCAGGGGGAAGTGACAGGATGAAAGCTTTTGCAAGGAGAGCGGCACCTGCCCACTTCAGCTGTGTGTGGCACTCCTCCCCCCGTGCTGGGGGCCATTGCACCCAACACAGAGAAGAGGAAGACCCGGAACCAGAGTTGTGCGGGCTCCCCCGCACTGGTCAGGGGGCCGGGCCCTTGCTGTGTGCGCCGGCCTGGGGAGGAGGGCGGAGCCAAGACTCTGGGGTAACAGCAGCAGGCGCCAGCAATGTCCCCGAGTGGAGTTGGTGGCCGCATAAGCAGTTGTCTCTTCAGCCCAGGTTTGCAGTGGCAGAATAGAAGTCCTTTGTTCATTTGCTTCGAGAGAGAAAGGAGGTCTTTGAGACCAGATAGATTGTGAGCTCTAAGAAGGAAGGCATATTTCCATAAAAAACAATAGTCTGGAAAGAGGACGCACGCTGTTAAGTGATCTCGTTGCTGCGCAAACGGGAACGAAAAGCCAGCAGGGGGACACGCTGCCTCCTTGGTGCGTTGGGCCGGCAGCTCCAGAGGGCGGCAGGACAACCCGGGGGCAGAGGAGGGTGTGTCTGTGAGCTGTCAGGGGGTCCTCGTGCCGCAGGGGCAGAGCGGGGCTCACTGGGCGTGGTGCCCACAGCAGCGGGGACAGAGGCACCCCGGGGGCCCGGATGCCGGGACTGCATCTCGGACCAGAGGGCAGGGCGTTTGGACGGGAGACGCGGTGGCTGTCAGAGGCCCCGGCAGAGGGCTGCCCGTCCAAACTGCACGCTGCAGACGGGGTGCCCAGAGGTGGGCCCACCGAACTCCAGTCCCCTGGCCTGTGACGAGGGGGCACCGGCAGTGCTGTGGGGAGAAGGCAGCCGTCGGAACCCGGGTGCTGGGCCAGCTGCACACAGTGAATCCGGACACATACTACAGAGATTCTACAAAAAGTGACTCAGAATGGATCACAGACCAACACGGAAAGCGCAGAACTACAGGACTCCCAGAAATAGTGCAGGAGGAAAAATCTAGAAGGCCTTGGGTGTAGCTGTGATGCTATTTTACATACAATACCACAGGCACGGCCCTGAGGGAGATCATTGACACACCGACCTGGTCAGAATTACACACCTCTGCTTTGCCAAAGCCGTGCCGGGAGGGTGGGCGGGCCAGCCACAGCCTGGGAGAGAGTGTTGGCCAGGGCAGAGCCACGCCCTGGCCGGGGCTCTGGGGGTTGCAGCGCGGTCCCCCACACTGGCAGGCTGCGGGTTCAGTCCCCAGTTGGGGTGCATAGAGAAAGCAACCGGTGGGTGGTTTTCCCTCCCTCCCGCTCCCTTTCTCTCTCTCTAAAATTAATAATAAACATCTTCAGGCCAGGATTTAAAAAACTAAATAAAAAAGACATACCCACTATGAATGCATTAATAAGTGACATGCAGAAGTTTGATCTTAAAAAAGAGTGCTCTGAAAAATGCACAGATTTATCTCCATCCTCCCCAACACCCCGTACGAGGTAGCATCTGACCAGTGAGACACACCAGGGCCCCTCCCTGCTGGCGCCTTCCCACCTGTCAGGGCCTCGCCCCTGTCCTCGTGGACCTGCTGTAGCGTCCTGAGGACACACAAGCTCCGCCGGGGCGGGGACTCAGACTCAGAGGCCAAACAGGACCCCGTGTCTGGACTGGGGCCTCTCGTGGACCGTCAGCCCGGAGACCAAAGTCAGGGCCGGGAGCCCGGGGCCGTGGGAGATGTGGCAGAGGCGGGCTGGCCCTACCGGCTGCAGGGCCATGACCGAGGCCTGTTTCCTGTCGCCTTTCCCCAGGGACGGCAGGGCAACCTGCCAGGGCCACAGCCTTCCTGCCTTTAGGCCTGTGCTTGTCCCAGAGGCTCCGAGAAGACAGCGTCAGGATCCCAGCCGGTGCCTGGGCCACAGAAAGATCCTCCGACCAGGTCTGTGTCTGCCGGGCAGCCAGGTGGACTTAAGTCTTTGAGAAACCGGAGCCCAGGTTCTTCCAGTGACTGAAACTTTAAGTAGATAAGGAAACTCACTCTGAGGTTTGCAGACTGGAACAGGGAAGGAGGCGTGTGGAAAACTCACAAAGGGTGGCCAGCAGAAGGCTCCGTGAGGTGCTGGTGAAGGTGTGGAAACCGTCTGCCGCTGCCCGGTGTTCTGCTTGGTCTACGTCCAGCGAAACCCTGGAGGTGGCTCAGAGGTGGTGCTGAGTGCCAGGCTGGTGCCACTCTGCGCTGCAGAGATTGCCTTTTTCTAGAGTTCTACTGCGTGGTTCTGCCCTCTAAATACAGGAGGCGTGGGCCGTGGGCAGAAGTCTCGTGCTGAAGCAGAACTGGCGGGAAGGCTGGCCCTGTGGGCAGGGGCGCCCGGGGTGGCCGATGCTCACACAAAGGCCTTGCGGCGGTGACAGAACTCCGTGGCACGTTCACGTCCGTGACTCAGAGAGCCGCTCACCTGTCACGGAAAGCTGCGTAGAATACACAAGAGACTAGAGAGAGGTGTGATGTCGACTTCTACCTGCGCTGTTCGTCAGGCGGAAAGCACGGATGATGCTTTCCCTTAAAAACAAAATTAGAGTTTGCAGGGAGACACGGTGCCATTGGGGTGGAGAGTCTGAGGAGCCAGCAGTGAGTCTGATGCCGTTTAAGAGGAAAGTGAGGAACGAAGGGAGAGATCCAGGCAGATACTTGAGGCAGAGCTCAAGTGACAGAAAGAAAAACGATTACAATTACAAGTCAACAGTGATGGAAAATGCAGCAGGGTTGGCGAACGGTCGTCTAGTTGGCACAGCCTTGCACGGTGAGCCGCTGTAATTTTAATCAACGGCCAACCCAAAAATAATACAGGTGCAGACGCACAGGAAGAAGTGCCCAGTGAAGGGCAGTGGGAGGGACCAGGCCGTGAACTTGGAGAGAGGACCAGTGGGTTTGCGTGTTGTACCCGAGACACCGTCTTCTGGGTGAGCTGCAGCACAGGTGGGCCACACAGCCAGCCCAGAAGAAGGCGACTCTGGTGTTTAACGCAGGTCTCTGTCTGGAAGTCTTTTAAAGCGTAACCTGAACTGGACCGGGATTATCACCGCAACGTGTGAATTCATTTAAATCCCAGAGGCAGTGTCATCTTTGGGGTGTACACATCACATGGGGAGTAGCAACCCCCCCACTTATTCTGGAGTTGCGGATGACCCGGGTGGTAGGTACCCACCCTCTCCACGTGCGACCCAGGGATGGCCCAGAGGAGAAGCACCCAAGTCGTGCCTGGGTGTGAGAGGGACTTACCCGCTGGGTGCTGACTACCAGGCTCTCTGAGGTCACAGCCCCTGCGGGCTGGCCTCCCCTGGGGTGCCTCAGTGGGGGAGTACGGGTGGCCCAGCTGTGGCAGGACGTGGTCAGGAAGCAGGACACTCGGAGCTGCCCCAGGGCTAGGATGAAGCCCTGTGACAGCTTGTCATTAAACTGCAGCCCACTTCCCACAGTAAAGGCTGCGTGACTGACGGCTCTCCGCAGGGGCCCCGACTCCAGTACACTTTGGAGAGAACCATCAGAAGTCTATTGTTTTCTAACCAAAGTCACTGCAGCCCCCAGGACCCTGTTCCCTCCCCCAGGCGGCAGCAGAGGGC